CGACAAAATAGGCTTTGTTGTCCAAGCCAGGCTACCTAAGAAGATTTATTATTCCGATGGTAGTTTCGGCGATCAGGTCGTATTGTATCAAATGAACCCAAACTTCTGCAAGCAAGCTCTTCTACGATACCATGAATACTTAACAAAGTTGCTCAATGAAACGAATCATCATCTTTGAAAACATCTTGACTATGCGTCATCCCGCTTTTGCATAGATATATTCATTTTTGCATCAATGTTGTACATGACAAGCTTTTAAAAGATGTTTTCAAAATAAACTGAGACCATCTTTATTTACAGTGTATTGTTTAAGGATAATGAGTTTAGAGTTATCATGAAAATTCAACATCTCTCCATTTGAATTCCATAGAAGACTCCTTGATGAAAGGATTAAAGCCTACTCTACCGTTTTCAAATAGTTCAACCAAAAAGATGAGCCGTGGGATTCATTACGGAGAGGATAGGAGGGGAAGGTTGCAGATACGGTCGCATCTTTTAATGAATGTAAACTGTTTATTGAAAACAGTTTTCAATATATAGTGCTCGTTAGGCAAATATAGCGTCTTCAGTCGAAGGTCAATTTCATGTAAACCATCAAAGAGCGTATTTGTCTCTCACAGAACAAGCATAAATTCATGCCGAACGAGAGGATCCGACATGGGATCACCCAACAATACCAGAGAAAACAATTTCACATTGTACTTTAGTATCCAATAGTGTTTTTTGACCTTAATTTCCCCCTGAAACACAAGTTTACACGGTATTTCCACACTATCTCTTCAGCCTTACGATTGTTTGAGGTGCGGGATGCTTTAAAAATTACAGCTTCTCCAAAGACTACACTGTGTAGTCGCCTATAGAGAATTTATCGATCTTTTACAATAGGAGTCCTGTCAATGTGGTCAAGATGAAAAACTAGCATGGAATTCGCATTCAGCATGAAAATATGAGTCTGGTAACATGTCTAAGAATGTTTTAGAGGAAAACATCGATACATTCACTGAATAGGACGTATTTTGGCTGAATGAATCAGCTAATTGACGCTTTATTTCGAGTCATTGCACCAAAACAACTATTTGTTTTCACGAATTAAATATTCCATTTTGTAGAGATCGTCAAAAGCAACAAGATGTACTAGTTCGATTGCAATTTTCGACCAGTAAAATCTACTAAATGTGATCGTCTACTGTAAATAGCGTCATGAGTTCATTAGTATCTTGAAAGCTGCTATGAAACTCTCCTGAAAATCCCACTACGAAGGCAGTTTCGCATGCTCTTTCTAGTGGTGTCTTTTCGATCTCGAAAGTCTACTGTAAGCTCCGACTGGTATTGTAGAGTGCCTCTAAGAAATTTGAGGTGTGTCGATGTAAGGCTTCACTTCATCCACAATTTATACCCGACCTATTCTAACGTATCCATACCCACCCACACACTTGGGCTAAATCTAAAATTCTGATCGCTTACTCTGAAATACGTCAAATTGAGAGGTATTACATCGGCGCTAGTGGACTCATTTGTGTTATATTAGATATGTCGCCAAATCGAAAATTTCTATCGATGGAGTCATAGCGCGTAGCTTTTGAATTGCAGATTTGTATTGTTCATTCAAAAAGTTAATGCGTCTGACTATTTTTTGAATAACTCGAAAACGAAAATGGATAGAGACCTGTGGTTTGCACCATTCGAAAAAGAGATATCAGGAGTATATATTATTATAAGACTCAGTAAATTCGAAGTATTCTTTCATGGCTGTCTCCAAGCGAAAAGAATCTCTCTCGAACAGGGCTTTTCACGAACGCTAAAATTTCTTTAGGAATGTAGATGGATTTTGACTAAATTTGCATATTATTTGAGTAGAGATTCAATTGAAACTTGATGAAGAAAGACAGTAAGTATAGGTGTCAGTTTAAAAGCTATCACAAAAAACACTTCGAATTTAGTAAGTCTTACACAGATAGATATTCCTGATATAGCTCTTTCGAACGCTGAAAAATACAGGTTTTCATCTCTTTTTGCTCACAAGTTATTCAAAAAATTGTCACATGCGCCGACTTTTTATATGGACAATACATTCTTTGTACTAATAGTAAGCGAGTGTGAGTAGGGCACGTAGGAAGAAAGAGAAAATAATATATTTGTTTTTTCTTATTCGGACGTTTTCGTCGAAATTCTTGACAACATCCCAGGCAGGGATAAAAACGAAAAAATGGCATTAAAATGCAGTAAAATTGTACGAATAATAAGGGTGTCAAAAAGTCACAAATAATGCCAAAAAATGCATGTTCTGTGATCCATTATATTGATTATTTTTGACTTCATGAAAATTATTTAACCAGTAACATTCTAATCCTTATAACATAAACCATTATTTTGTCGCCGTTTAACATCGTTATTATTATTTTTTTTAGGCACATCCTCAAGACCGAATTTTGACTAATAGAGTTCAACTTTGATCTTCTTCACATAAAAAAAAATAAGAAATTAAAAAAGATTCTATCGCGTCTTACAACTAAACATGTTCTTTTAGACGAAAAAAAAATACAAAATTGCTCTTATGAAATGCCATAAAGATTCTAGATTACCAAATCAGCTGTTTCTGTTCATCTGACAATCTAGAGTCTTTATAACATTTGATTAGAACAACTTCTTCGTCTAAAAAAGCATATTTAGTTGCACGACACAACAGAATTCTTTTTAATTTCTTATTTTTCTATGTGAATAAAAGGGCAAAGTTGAACTATATTAACCAAAAGTCGGTCGTGAGGGTCTGCCCAAAAGGTAATTATGCAAAACGTCAGCAGGGCTAGATTAAAATGTTTTTGTGACATAAACTGGGAAAAACACATTTATCGACTCCTTTCTGCATGTTCACTTTCACTCTTACTCTCACCCATACTGAACAATTATTATGTCATAAAAAATATAAAAATGATGTGAAACGATGACAAAAAAATGGTTTATGATATAGACGTTATGTTAGCGAAGTTTTAATCAGTTCAAAAGTAAACCGCAGCTAGCTCAGATGAAAAATAATGTTTCCTTAGTACTGAAATTACTTATATTTCAAAAATTGCACCTTCTTTGATGAACAATACGCGACTCAACCATGTTAGAATACAATTAATCGTTTTCGACCCTTCATTATATCTCTTGTCCTCTTACATATAATATGGATAAAACAGTAATATATAACAGATAACTCAAGCACATAAACATTTAGCTACTGTGAAAAACGAAACAGAAAAATTGAAATAAAAGTTGTCCCTGAAAAATATACTCATAATCTATTGATCTTCTCATTTGACCAGTGTAAGGCAAGATATCCTCCTATCTATAAAAAGTTTTAGAATTGGTGCATAAAGTGGGCACGAACGCTTCTAAAAAAATACTCGTAGTGAGGAGAATTTATTAACAGGTAGAAGACATTTCTCATGCTCAGCTAGTGAACTATATGATATCAACATTTTATGTCAAAGAAAATTGAATCAATTGAATTCTAGAAAAATCTGAATATGTAGCAATTTGATTATTTTTCATTTGAGCTAGCCGTATTTTATTTAATCTCCAGCAAGAAAACGATCTCAAGTGGAGTAATTTTCTTCACATGTAAGAGACAGCGATAGATATATGGATGAGAAGAGAACTCGCAAGGAAGTCTGCAGAAATTCGAAATAATAATGAAAAAAATGATAGGGCAATGCCTGTCTGGAACGTAGTTAGGATTAGAATTCAAGTCATTTGAAAATTATAGAAACACTTTACACGAAAATTTTATGCATTAAATTTTATATCAGTGATGTCAAACTTTAGAAAATTTATTTAGTTGTTTTAAGCATGAGAAGGAGAAATAACATCCTTCTAACATATTGAATAAAATCAATGAATTTGATATCATTCATTCTTATATATTTGATCAATTTTTTCTTTCAAGACAAAGACTAAAGGCAACCATTAGGAATGAACGAATTATAAAATATCGAATATAGAGGGTGCTGATGACAATGAAAGTGATTTCGTAAGAAAGAAGTAACTTAAATATTTATAATCTCTAATAAAATCTTTTATCGGTGCAAATGTAATTCTATGATTTAAAGGCTACAATTTTTCAGTATGAATTGGTTGCAAAATAAAAAAGATATGCTTTCCATTTGTATAAAAAAAGAAAATTATTCAAATATCATGACTTTTTATCTTTAACGGAAATATATCTTATTCTATAGTGATTGTTTTAAATGGAATCGTTATATGAAGAAAAGTAGACATGCAATTTATTTTGATTGCCTTTCTTTGATCGAACGGCGTATATACATTCTGTTGTATAAAGACGATATTTATCAGATAGATACAAATTACCACAGCATGACAAGTGATGACAGGGGTGGGAGGGTGTCCAAAAACACAAGAGTGATGACGGATACGCGATTACCCCTTACGAAGAAATCATCGTGCCTGGATTAATAAATAGAATCAATATGTATGTATGTAATCACTCTTTCCAGGTTACATTCAGTGTTTTCTAGGTATTATTTCTTTCTTTTATCTAGTGATATATATCTTTGTCATGAGATATAATTGTCCTTTGTTTTCTTCTCTATAAATATTGATGCGTTGTTTAAGGACATCATTCAGTTTCTTATTTAACATCTATAACACATACATTATTCTTATCTTTTTAACTTTTCATCGTCAAATTTTACATAATTTCCACCATGGCTCCGAAACGTAAAACTATTTCCAAAACAGGTTCTTCGAAAATAATAACACAACAACGTCGATCTAGTCAGCGAGTGATTAGTTTGACGGCAAATAATAGTACAAATAAGTCGGTTGCGTTAACACAACACAAAAACAATCTCGATCAAAACGACGACAAAATAAAAAATACGACAACGGTGAAAAGCAGTTTTACTTAATTGAAGAAGGTGAAATATCAGTCCTTGTTTTTTTATGAAGATGTATGAGATATACTTTTAGATACATCAACAGAAAATCCGAAATCAATGAACATCGATACAAGCGACGTTGATTCAGGTGATCAAGACCCATCAACTTCTAATACTTGTTCGAATACAAGTAATGCTGATAGACAAGTTAAGGAACCATCCGGTATTCAATTTGATATTGGTGATGATGATGATACCAATGAATTTCAAGCTATGTTTATGTCCAATGCAACATTACCTAAAAGTCATCCAAATTGTTGTTCAACACCATTAGTCGATCTCGACAAGATAAACCGTAAGTCTTTTATTCTGTTTCAGGATGTTTTTCTATAGAATAAGAATTTTTCTCGGGAGAACTATTGAATACACATCTGATTAGACTTTCTATAATCAAATAAAAATTTTTTTTAGCTCTCCGTTCTTTTTTTAAGTGAAAAATATTCATTTGAGATTTAAGACGACATGCATTTTTTACAATAAAAAAAGCACCAAACATTTTCGTAATAAACAACGACAACTTTTATTTTCTTCAACGTCAACAAATATGTTATACCTGATTTCGTCTTCAAGAAAAAAATTAGAAATTAAAAAAATCCTTTTTGCTTAGCTTGACCAATTTATTTTTACATATAAATAAATCTTCCATATCTCATATATAGATCTACCGTATGTGCAGCTACCGAGTATGCCTCATCATATCAAACAAAAAAATCAACACATCGTCGTCCATTATCAACAATCAATGGTGATCATCAATCAACAACAACAAATTTAAATATACAAAATTTTAATACACCAACAAATCTACGTGTTAGTACAAATTTATCACCAGCAACTCAAGTGTCAATTAGAAATCAATCTTTGTCTAGCATCAATTACACAACTAATAATAATGCTATCTTAGACACATTTGTTGAATATCGAAATTTACGACGTGATTTACAACGTGTAGAACAAAAAATTGAACATTGGAAAACTGATTATGAAGCATTAAAACGCCAATTAGAAAAACTTCAAAAGACTTCATTTCGTATGCATATCTTTTATCACAGTATCTCTCTTTTTTTCATTGCTTCTTTTAGCTCGTCAAAATGCTGATGGTCGGGCATTTTCGAAACATTTGCTTGAATCATTGAATTCATGTGAACAAGATAAAGATAATCGTACATCAGCACAAATAGCTAAATCTATTGGAATGCCGGAAACAATTCTGTTGTCATGTTCTGCTGTTGATCCACAAAAAACAGCTTTGCACGTGTTTAATCAAGTTTTTCCCGATAATGACAAGAAGGAAGCATTAATTAATATTGACAATTTGAATGTAAATTATCCAATTTTACTAAAAGATATACTGGGTAAGCTATGTGTATTAAAAATTTCACTGATCCATTGTTTGAATTTTGAAAGAGAAGATTATAGAAATTTATTTCGAGCCTTCAAAACTCGATTTCAGACGCTTTCACTAAGGAAATTAATATATAAATCGATCATTTCTAACTTTTCAGGAAATAATTTATCTTTTTTTGTTTTAGTATGGTCAAGAAGATGTACACCTGGTTGTGTTTAATCAATGTCCGAGTTGAGAGATGCAATTGGAAATTCAATCAGATGTGCTTGATACAAGGTGAAGATGGGCAGGATTCAATTGGCTGCGGCAGCAGCTGTCAACCAGTTTGGACCAGCTCGTGTAGATAAATGATATAGAAATAATGCCACAAGAGGATGATGGCCATTAAAAGTAATTTTAATTAATTTTTCTTGATGCACGTTGTTCTATTTAATTTTCTTAGAAATTATGCCAAGAACTTCAACCTTATAAATATTTTTTGTAATTTTGTTAATTACATATTTTTTTTTTTTCTAAATTTTCTTTGTATAACTACTCTATTGATCTTTTTTCTTCTACAGTTCGTTTTGATGTTTATCTTTTATACTATCTTGATTTATTTGATGCTATATAGTCATCATTTAATAGCTCTTTTTGTCTTTTGTATAAATCCCTTGTACACTTATAAAGATATATTTTTATGCTGTTATATTTGTATACTTTTGTATGCGTTATTGAAACTGATTGGAACAACATATAAATTAGTCATGAAATAAATAAATATCATTTATTTTTGTTTATTCATAAGTCTTTATTAAAGAAATACTGTCATGGATTGCCATTTAATTATAAGCAGATGATAGCATCTTTGAAATATTAATAGATTCATTCTTCAGTGTAGTTAAAAGATCTATTTTTTTATTTATTAAGTTTTTTTTATCTAAGATAAAAAATTGCATACCCTTTCTAGCATATGAATACAAATCAGACTTCAGTTTCACATAAAATATAAGTTCTATTTTTTCATTGAAGTTTATGCGATTCTCTTCGCTCACTCGATATATTAGATATTCATTGAATTATAACTGATAATTTGAATCGAACAATGTCTTATGCAAGAAAAAAAACATCACGTTTAAAACAACGTTTATTACATTCACATCACCGACAGTCAACTTTACATACTATAATTGATGTTTTCAAGTGAGTTTATTGAATTCAATCGATTTCATTTTAGGACGTCTTTTTAATATTAGTTATGTCGGTGCTAATATTTCGCCACCTGTATCATCCTTATCATTATCTACTACAAACGATATTCCACCTTCATGTTCTTTATTACTTCCATCAACACCACAAGTTCAAGCAAATGATTCACCACATAAAAGCTGCTATTCTTCTTCTTCTCTTTCTACTTCATCATCATCATCTTTATTATCCTTATCAGATTGTTCTGATAATTCATATAATGATACTTGTTGTTCTGTTAACGATGAAATTTTTAGACCAACTAATACAGAAATTTCAAAAAATATTTTCACAGAATTGTTTATCGATGACGATCTACAAAATCGTTCAAAACTTCTCACTTCAAAAGAAATAGCTATTTTACTTGTTCAATTACGTTGTCGACATGCTTTAACAAAAACATGTATCACACATATCTGTCAACTTTTACAAGTATTAAAAGTTTCAAACACTCCATCCAGTTTTGATAGTATTGAATCTCAAGTACTTTCTAATTATCGATCAACTATTTTTCCAACGAAAAGTACTATATGTTCTTTCTGTCATTAAAGGTCTTCCAATTCAAACAGATGTACAAATCTAAATGATTGTGTATCAAAACAGTCGTTAATTCGTGCACAAACTATAAATTACACACTTGCAATTGAACCACAAGTACGATCAATACTTGAAAGAAATCAAATAATATTCCCAAAACCGAATCATCATTCAATTTCGGATATAACTGATGGACAATTTTATAAAAATTACTTAGACAAGAATCAAAACCATTTGTAACACTGTTGATGAATTCTGATGAAGGTTTAATTAAAGCTATTTCGAAGTCAATATGGTGTACAACTTTTGTAATCAATGAATGGCCTAGGGCAATATGATTTCTTCCAGAAAATACAATCATTGGAATGGTTTCTACAGGAAGCATGAAGCCGAAAAAAGACGAAATGTTATCAATGATGAATGACCTTGTAAATGAACTTCATAGATTGGAAGATGAAATTTCAGTATTATTGCCATCAAACGATTCAAATAATCTCGAACAAGTTGTCAGAATATTTTTAATTAGTTGTGTTTGTGATAAACCTGCAACATCTCTCATTCTCAATCACACCGAATGTACCGGTTTTTTCGGATGTATTTATTGTACTATGAGAGGTAATATTATGTACAAACTAGAAAAAGAGGCTACCGATTTGATAGAGATTATAGCATTCTTGTACATTTTACATTTGAAAGAGAATAGGTAGTCATAAAATTCCTTTTGCAATTTTTTTTTATCGATTCAAATATAATTTTGTTCTCTTATTTCATTTATTCTTCTTGTTTAACTTTTCCCAATTCCAGGTAAATCGGTAGAAGTAAAAAATACAACTATTCGTTCATTTGTTTCTGATCCAAATGAAAAATTTATATTACGATCCAACAAAACCTATGACGATGCAATTACATTTATTAATAATGTAAATTGAATTTTATGATTGATTATTTCTAAGAAGCATATATTTAGGGCTACAAATTAACAAATTCAAATAAGATCCTGTCGAAATCAGCAGCTAAAAAATATTTACAAGATGTTAGAGGACCATGTTTACTTCGAAAATTAAAATATTTCAATATTTACAACTCTTTTCTTTGTGATACACTATATAATTTGTATTCAGGAGTTATGGTAACCTTGACTTCGTCATTCCTTTAGGAATCATTACTATTTTATATCTAGGGAAAAATGTTGAAACTATTTCTGTCAAAACCATCTGTCACCGAAGACATATCAGGTGCTATGAGTGTGAGCGATCAAATAGATAATATTGCTGAAATTGTTAATTCGATTTCATATCCCTCAACAACGTACAGGCAGTCGAGAGATATTCGTCTATTTAAAAAGGACAAAGCGAACGAGTTGCGAATTATTTTACTATTTGGATATGCGTAAGTTCACAACTTTTCAAATGTATTTCATCTTTTAAATCTTATTTAGAGCTTTTGAAAATTTTCTTGATAAAGAACGTTTTATTCATCTAAAAACGTTAGCTTTTATAGCACATCTAGTTGAAGGAGAATATTTGTCTGGTAATGCTCATAAGGAGATAGACTTTTTAGGGAGGTACTTCGATGAAAAATTCGCATCTCTTTATACGGTGAGCAATATGTTTCATTTTATTTCTTTAAATATTTTTCTCGATATAGGAGAGACACTTTGTGTCAGTCATTCATTCAATTCGTCATTTTCATTCATGTGTTCGGGATTACGGTCCAATGTTCAATTATTCGACATTTTCTTTCGAATCTACAATGGGTTTGTTTTTTATCTTTTCTTTCCATCATAATTTTGAATATATGAGTAGCATCATTTGCTCGAACTATACATGGTGGATCAACACCAACACGTGAATTGATTAAAAATATTGATTTATATCGTCAATCATCAATTTATGTTTCATCCACATCATTTCCCGCATCAGGAAAAGAATATATCAGTCGAGTATTTTCTTCACCACGTGAAATTACGTTTAATTATCGAAACGGTTTACATAATATAAAATTACATCAAGAAATTACATCACCACCATCTAGTTTCTTTCAGAAATGGCCAAATTCATCTGAATCTAATTTTTTATTTTACAAGACTTTGTTTTTTGATAATTTACGATTCAGTGCCGATGATTTTACAATAATTTGACGTTCTAATCATTCGTGTATCTTGTATAAAACAAAAAAGAATTCTTATTCAATTGGTTTTATATCATATATCGTTCATATTATTGATAGAGATGAAATCTGTCTAGTTCTAAACAAAGTTAAAATCACTTCAACAGCTGACACTCTCGATATCGATGGAAGAAATTTTATGTGGAAAAATATTTTACAAGGTAGTGCCATATCTGACTCTATAGTTATTATTCAACCATCTCAAATTTCAAAAAAAGTTGCTTTTCGACCAATATTCAACGAAGATCCATCACTATCAAATACTTTTATCTTTTATCAATATCCTAATTTGAAAGAATCTTCTTAAACTTATATTATGATAGAAAATAAACATCTAAAATTAGGCATTCGAATTATCATATAATTTCTATAAATTCAAGATAGTTTCTGAATTAATTTGAAAATTAAATAGATAGAGTCAGTTCATAATAAATAGTCCTAATGTTTGTTTTATAGATCAAAAATGCATTTTAATGACCATTTTTACATTATTCACTTGACAGGAATCTACACTTACTGCACTTATTTTTGCAATCCTTTTCTATTATCACTAGTGGAATTCGCATTTAAGAGCCAGGATTCAATGACAAAAAAGATCTCTTGGGCAAGTCATCAAAATATGTGGCCGTCGAATATGCCACATCACATATGTGCTGTAGTCTATCTGATAAGCAATTTTTCACCGTTTTGTTTTGCATAAGCAAATAACTATAGGCGCTTCAATTAGGTACACTGAACTTATGCATCTTCAAATATGTTTTTTTCTAGATCATTGTTCCATTAACATTAACCATTATTTGAAAAGATGTTGAGATATCCATGGATATTCGTGAATATACTATTTCAAATCGATCTGATTGAGATTCGTGCTAGATAGAAACGCACTGTAATATGTCCTCCTTTAAAAAGCTTTGCAGATCTTGTTTTCTTTGAAAGAAACATGAAATATTGATAAAAGAAAGCTACAAGTATTCATAAGACAAAACAATGTAATTTTCTTTTATGATAAATTTAATGTTTTTCATTATATCTGCTATTGAATCTTGTTGATGAAATCCTTGATATGATGAGCCATCATCTGCTGTATAGATTGAAACAATTCCTTATCATTTTGTAAATCGGTCGATAGTGAAGCTTTCAAGCCATCAAAAAAATTTTTGCAACTTTCACCCCCTGCTTTTAGTTTGTCCTTGTTTTCCTGTTTAGTAATATACGTGTAGGTGTTCAGGAAACGTTGCTGCATTTGTTGCTGATGTTCTCTAATTGATTTTTGCATTTGATCAATAAGAGTTGCAGCTGAATCTGGCTTTTTTGCGAAAATACTGCACAACGTATTGATTTCATCGTCCGTCGATGCCGCATCAGCAAGATTTAACGATTTTGTCATGTAAAACACGAAGCATAACTATGAATATATCGTTCATATTTAATTTTTCGTTTTCTTTTTTATGTAAAACTATACTTACTATAAGAAGAATCTTGTTCATTATTATCAGTACTATCGACAACGACAAATTTTCTGTTCTTGAATGAAATCGTGTCTCTTAAGTTGGTATAAATATTCAAGTTCGCCCATGTGCTTAGATAAATATTGATGAAAACATTAGCAAGTTGAGTTGCAATTATTCGCCTACACTAAAAAAACAGAAATACGATTATTCATGCCTAATAAATTGTTATTTACTTCGAAGTAAACTATTGGCATACTGTATTTTTTCAATTTTGAATCGGACAACAAAATTCTACGTTAGGCTTTTTGATTACAATAGATAATTGATTTGACTTTTCATATTACATTGTATCGGCTCTTATGCCATCCATTTTATTTTTGCAAAGTATCCGACTTAACGCTTTGTCAACCTTGATGTGCTGGCATACGCTGACTATCGGGATGTTCTACGTTCGTTTTCATTTATTTGGTATTTGTCAAAGGGACATTGGTTACATTCCTATCTTTGAAACACAGGTGCAACATAGATCGCATATTATGTAGGAGAAGTTAGTAGTCGATTCGTTTTGTTGGCATGACGAGTTAGATCATGATTTATGTCAATAATAAAGAAAGCTAGTGGCAGATAGAACTCGACGAGTTCTATCGACTCATATATAAACAAAACAATAATACTTAAGACAAAATATTGTTTTTGAAATGCTCGTAGATAAAACATGGAGCTGTTGAAAGAATCATGTTATGGTATTTGTCTGATGACCTAACTGCTATATAGAAGAAGCACTAAGTATTAATACTTCAATACAATAAGATTATTTAAGATATCTGTTTCCTATGTCATCATACATTCTTCAATTATATGCATCTGTAATTTCGTTCGCATGTCTTGTCACTCGTGATTTATCTTTCGCTTGCATCCAACTTCATTCAGAGTCAAACAGAGAACAAAAGAAAGAATAAAGAGAGTCTTCTATAGAAATATTACGTATCTCGTTCCGCGCTACAACTTTCCGCATTTGTTTGTGAATTTCTTATAGATTGTTCCGTTTTATATTCTATGATCTTTTAGAAACTTCTTTTTTCATTATTAAATATATCAGCGAGTGTAGCTGTCGATAAAATAATAAAAACAAAAGCGCCAACATGATCAACACTAACAATGTCGTTCACTTTTCTATCCAATCTTGTCTCGAAACGGCCAACACCGGTAAATACATTCTCTTCTTCGATTAAATCGCGAGAAGAAGAGGTAGCGCAGTATTTGCTTGATAGTATCGAATCTATCAGCGGCTGTTCCTCGTATTCAATTGACAATGACACCAATCTCGAAATCTACACAACTACTGAGGTATTCAACAGCGAATACACCAAAAGTGATAAGGAGGACATATCTTATGGTAATAATCATCAGCCGCAAGATAAGAATTCCCTACATCGCTATAGTCTTGAATATATGCAAAAAGTAGTGAATTACTATGATGAAAAAGATTTGAGAACAGCCAAATGCAAACAAAGTCGGTCAACCGTTCAACATTGTTTTCCTAGTGTTCCGTATCAGCAATATATCTCTTGTTTTCGTCACTCTCTTGAAGTACATGGAACCAAGCAACGAAAAATTAAAAAGGTCGACGAATATGTTTTTTTATTAACCCATTGGGCCCGATGGGGTCCACCGGTAGACCCCACTATATTTTAACTAGAAACTTAATAGAAAAACGTTTTCTTTTATTTTATTTTTAGGCGGAAGGTTAAACATGATGTGCGATCTGCTTTGCC